GCAATCTGGACTAGGCCCCAGAGGCAGCCCTGTCAGTGATGGACAGTGTCAGTAGGTAAGTGGCCCAGGAATCCAGGTAAGTCCTCTAGAGAGACAATTGCAGGGCACACTCCACACGGTCTCCTCGAAGCTCCCTAGCAGGTTTCAGCTCTAGTCGCACGCAGTGGAACCTGCTCACCAACACCTTCACTGGCCTTCTCCTTCTCTTTCTCACATTTTCTACTTTCCTGCTGTGCCTCCAGAGACTACCTCCCAGGTAATCCACCTGCACACAAGTCCTTGTCTCAAGTTGTTTGGGGGATGGGATGGGGGAGTGACTAGGACAGTTATCAGAAATGGCAGAAGCAGGATGGGCTTCTGAAAACAGATCCCTCACCAGTGAAGTGACAACGCAGACCCAAATGCTGGTAGTGACTAGGTGGTGATAACCGCTGGCAGACTACAGCATCACAAAGTGTGTCCACAATGTGAGCAGTGGATTGGGATGAGGTACAGGTGAAATCCCAGGGGCAACATTGACTTATGCCATACGTCTAACACTTTAAAGATACAGGGCAATAGTAACAATCAGGATTGTGGGGTTGGTTGGCTTTTGTTAAATGCCCTAGAAGTCTTGAAGAAAGAGAACTCAGGGTATGTCGTGAAGACAGGAGAGCTCCGTAACAGCATTTGAAATGACCCTATCTCTCATGGCCCAAGTGTAGGCTGCGCTGAAAATCAGGCCCAAGATCTGATTATAAGAATGGTGAAGCTTCGAGAGAGACTAAAGGCACAGCCTCAGCAGACCAAGTATCCTAGGGTCAGAATTCTGATGGGGAAAGAATGGGACATTCAGATGGATGCCCTTGAGAAGCTTGTACCCTCAGCTTCTCGGAGCCTTCCGGGCCTGCAGAAGTGCCCCTTCTTTTACTAGAGAATTCCCCCATGACCTGAAGACCACACTAAGAACGCACCTGAGGTGGATGACTCACAAGATGATACTTACCTTCCTCGAGATCCATCCCTCCTTCCCTCACTGCCTCTAGACCAAGGTCAAAAAACAGTTTTTTAAAGAGCAAGAGAGTAAATATTTTAGATTTGCAGTCCATGTGGTCTGTGTTGCAACTATTTGATTCTACTTTTGCACTTAAAACGACAGTGCAAAAACAACCATGGACAATAGGTGTGTGTGCATTCCAAGAAAGCTTTATATACAGAAACAGGCAGCTGGTCCGTGGAACTATGGTTTGCCTACCCCTGCTCTAGACCAGTAATTAGGGTCAGGTCTTAGCATTGCCCAAGCAAGAAAGTATATAGTCCCCGCTGCTGGAGGAAATACCTTATTTACCAAAAAAGCTACAGGTCTGGCTGATACGTATTAGTAGGAACAGGAAAACACATATAGGAAGAGATCTTGAGGATGTGGGCTGGGGCTTGGGGGAGCTGAGGAATACAAAGGTAGATAAAGAGGGTTCTATGGAGGCAATGTCTTTGGACTCGGAATTTAACATCTTGGTAAGACCACTGGAGCTGGTCTTAACACACTGCTGAATTCGTCCTTAAGGTTTAGACCCAATGATGGCTTACAGTAGTGAGGTGGCAATGCTGAAACAGCCTTGGATGAGTACTAATGGGGCATCAGAAGGCTCAGAGAGGAGGGCCCAGAAGCCCTTCCCTTTGCAAAGCAATAAAGAAGTCCCACTGGGTGCCGTGGCTCATTGGGAGGCCGAGGTGGGTGGATCACCTGAGGTCAGGAGTTCGAGACCAGCCTGGCCAACATGGTAAAACCCCGTGTCTACTAAAAATTTTTTAAAAATTAGCGAGGCATGGTGGTAGGCGCCTGTAATCCCAGCTACTCAGGAGTCTGAGGCAGAAGAATCGCTTGAACCTGGGAGGTGGAGGTTGCAGTGAGCCGAGATCGCGCCACTACACTCCAGCCTGGGCAACAAGAGTGAAACTCCATCTCAAAAAGAAAAAAAAAAAAACAAGTCCCTAGTGAAAGGAGCTCAGTGCTGCTGTCCTCTATAGCCCAGGTTGACAGAGGAGATACTGCCATGGAATACCATGGCCACTGTCAATGGAGACATTAAGTGGAAAAGCAGAGACCACATAGGGCCACTTAATCATCAGAGGCAAGGTGGACACAATTACAATGACAGGCAGCAAGGCCTGAATGGTAACCAAGGGGTCCTTGATCTCCAGGGCTCCGCAGCAGTGGTGTCCCTAGGGCAAGAGACGGAGCATTTAATGAGAGTCTTGCTTGACTCAACCACAAGACCAAGGGTGAATGAGCAGAGGCTGATGTCAGCTGCTGAGATAGAAAATCACAATCTCTTACCTAGTTTCCAGATTTGAGCCAGTTCTGACCCAGGACGCACTGATGGAAGATCCATAATGCCACTATAAATATCTAAAATAAGTGTTTTCTAGATTCTTCCCTAAAGTGCCCTCTGGCTATTTACCAGAATAGCTGTACAGTGTGGAACAGGGAATAACCAGATCATTTGAGGTCTGTTAGATACGGGGTCTGAACTTTCACTGCTTCCAGGTGACCCAAAATACCATTATAGCCTCCTTTTAGAGAGGGGGGACATAGAAGGCCAGGTGATAAATAGAGTTCTAGCCAAGTTCATCTCCCAGTGAGTCTGTGGATGTACTCTGTGGTTATTTCCTAGCCCTTGAGTGCAAATTGGGATGCATAACTTTGCAGATGGCAAAATGCTCACATTCTGCCACATTCTCACATTCTCACTCATCTATGGAATAAGAGCCATTATGGAAAGAAAGACCAAGTAGAAGTCTCTAAAATTGTCCCAGTGGTCACTCTTTTGCCCTGGAAGAGGCTGGAGGGCAGTGGTGCGGTATCAGCTCACTGCAAACTCTGCCTCCTGGGTTCAAGCTTTCCTCCTACCTCAGCCTCCCAAGTAGGTGGGATTACAGGTGTGCACCACCATGCCCAGCTAATTTTTGTGTTTTTAGTAGAGACAGGTTTCACCGTGTTCGCCAGGCTGGTATTAAACTCTTGACCTCAATTGATCTGCCTGCCTCAGCCTCCCAAAGCGCTGGGATTATAGGTGTGAGCCACTGCACCCAGCCCAAACAGTTTTTTAAATAAGAGCTCCAATTCCTCCATAGCCTTGCCAACACTTGGCATTATCAGTCTTTTTAATAGTTGTCTTTCTGGTAAGTGTACAGTGGTATCTTATTGTGGTATCTCAATTTGCATTTTTCTGATAAGTAATGATGTTAAGCTATATTCTTTACAAAAAGATTAAACAAACCAAAATATTGACAGTGGTGATATTTGTGGAGGTGTGACGGTAGTTTTTGCTTTGTTGTTTTTTTCTGAAGCACAGTCTTTCTGTTTGCTAAGTTTTCTGCATTTTCTAAATTTAAATGCTTAATTTTTAAAATTATTTTTTAAATTATGAAACCCTTCCCAAAAGCCCATTTTTTTGTTCTTATAACAAGGTATAATGACCACAATAGTAATATTGCAAGTAAGATTGCCAAGAATCATTTATTGAGCACCTGTTGTACATTCAGCATGTAGGAGGAGCTGTGAACAGCACAGAACAGTACAGGGTTTGGTCCCTGACCTCGAGAGGTTTACAGTTTAGGCGGAGACACAGAAGAACCACCTGAGCTGGGAAGCCCGAGAGAAAACAGTCGAGGCCAGGATGTTACAAGAACTGGAAGGTGTTTGGGGTCGCACCCATCACATATGAGCCCACATGGCATGCCCTGTCGACAACCTCTACTGCCCCCTTCTTAAAATGCCTGACTATAGGTGGGGGTGCACACACCTGTAATTCCTGCACTTTGGGAGGCCGAGGTGGGCAGATTACAAGGTCAGGAGTTTGAAACTAGCCTGGACGACATAGTGAAATCCCATCTCCACTAAAAATACCAAAAATTAGTTCATTTCAGCTACTCGGGAGGCTGAGGCAGGAGAATAACTTGAACTCAGGAGGCAGAGGTTGCAATGAGCTGAGATCACACCACTGCACTCCAGCCCAGTCCAGGAGACAATG